GCTGACAGAACTGGCCCCTCCACCACAGGGAGGCCCCTGAGCCCGGAGTGGGGAAGCCACCACTCCTTGTCTGGAAACTACCAGCCTTATTTCATCAAGCCTCAGGAGAAATGAGGTGGGTGGGAATCCCAAATCCACGTCTGTGGCTGAGTTCATCCTGTTTCCTGAGGATAACATCTGTGTTGATAGTGTTTAAAATACCTTATATTGGGTGTTCTTCAAGCTATTTGAATATTTTCCCTTCATTTTTAAGATCACTTCCCATCTCTTTATTTTTGGAAAAGGTCAAATTTTGTTTCTACTGTTTCCAAACTATGCTGCCTTCTACCAAGTGTTTTCCTAAAGTGCATTTGCTTGAGGAAACCTGTCCTGTCTCCTGGGAAACTGGCCCCTGCCACACCAGGGCATCAGTTTACTCCACAGGCATTGGCATGTGCTGTCACAGCTCTGCGCAGTCTCATAGGCTGTGTGTTTTGTTTCCCTGTTGCAAGCTTCTTAAACCACGGGGCATGGGTTTGTTTTCTCTGCTTTTCCTTGAAGGCCCAGTGTAGGCCCTGCACCCACATGTTGGCTATGGATGCTCATGGACCTTCATGCCCAATCACCAGCATTTTTGCTGTTGTTATTGCTGTAAGAGCAGGGGAGAAATAATCTGCTGTAGTATTCAGCTTGGAATACTTGCTTCATGACAGTATGTTGAGAAGATTACTAAGCCAACTGGAACGTTTTATTTTGATGTTACTTCTGGGTACTGAATAAAAGTTCCAGACTTCTGGAAAGTCGTTAAAACACAAAAATACTCACTAGAGTGCAAACAGAAGACCTAGGATTTCTAGGTCTTCACCCCATCACCAACTTCCACTTTCAGAAGGGCACTTTTGTCTCAAGTTTGAGATGTTCCAATTCTAAGATGAAACGGGTCTGAGAGAGCGTGCAAAGGGGCCATTAGATCTATCACTGGCCAGGTGTGTGGGATGCGGCGCTGGCTTTGCTTTCTTCCCAGCCTTCAATATCCACAGCTCTGAATGGGAGAAGCCCTGGCGTTACTGGATGGCATTTGAAGAAAGAGCGGTGGTGTAGTGTTATTAACAGATATGCCACCAATCCTGCAGGGCAGAGGAGGAGGGGAGGGAGAGGGACCGGCTGTACAGCAGGGCATGCAGAAGAGAATTCCAAGGATGGTTCAGAGTGGTAACCACAGACCTTGGAAACTCCCGGAGGCCCAGCAGAGTCCACTAGGCAGAAACCCAAGAAAACGTGATCCCTGTTTGTCTCCAAGAACGGTGGCTATCAACAGGGGATGGAAACAAAGGGGAATTTCTAGAGTCCTTGTAAGATTAAAAATCCTATTAAATGGAGTTACTTGAGAATAACAGGGAATGTCTTAATCTGGACTTTCCCAATGACTGGTATTAATCTTACTGCTGGCAACTCAGATCAGAATTAAACAGAAAACAGCCTTCAGTGTCTTTGAAAGCGACAGAGAACTACAGAGAAAATGCATTTTTATGATAACATCAAAACGGCTAATAAGCCACTGCCTTTAGCATACCCACCTCTCTCAGGAAAGAAGCTGGTCTGAGGAGCTGAGGTCCAGGAGCAGCTAGGACCAGGACCTGGCAATTCGTTTAAATGCTGACTTGCTTGCCCCTTTCCCTGGCTCTGCCTCACCACCGCTCCACCAAGGGCCGCTGTGGCCCAGTCCTCACAGGAGGCATACAGAGAAATCAGGAATCAGATGGGAGCCATGAAGAGCAGCAGGCAGGAGCCTGGAAAGCTGCAGGGGGAGGACGCTCCAGAGACCCCCCCAGAATCTGGAAATGGCACTAGGGGCTTCTGGCACCTCCAGGCCAGGAGATGCTCACTCACAACCAAGACTAAGTAGCTCGCAGTAATCAGGGGACTAGCATCTGAGGCCCAGTCATGACAGCAGTGGCTTACCCAGGTGGGCTGAAGCTTCTAGTCTATCAGATGGTTGCATGAATGACCCAAAAGGAAAAAAAATGTCATCAATTTCTTGTACGTTATAACACAGATGCACGTGTAGATTACCTTTCAGGTTAGGATTTGTATTTTACGCCACTACCAATTGTTGCCAACAGAGTTCTGACATGAGAAAAATGTATTCCATTCTGAGGACTGCTGGTCTATAAATAATTCAAAATGGCCAGAGAATTTAGGTCAAGGTGAGTTTATTGTCCAAATAGCATAACCTAATCGCATCCAAAACCATTTTCAAATCCATCTTTAAGCTACTCAGAATAACAGGTTATTATTTTTAAAAATCACTTAACACTGAACAGATAGGACCTCTTAAAAGGTAGCTGACTATACCACGTCACCATCAGAGCCAATAAAACATTTTTCCATACTTCCTAAAAACCTCTTGTTTATACCGATCATGCTACTTTAGCACTTGCTAGCATCCCGACCAAATAAAACACCCACACCTCTTATAGAGTACACTGTGAGAGAATAACATTGACTCGATATGGCATCACACTCATTTTAAAGCAAAAAAAAAAAAAAAAAAATTATAATAATAATAAAAGAAGTCCAAGACGAGAAACTGTAACTGAGAGAGAGAGATCTGAGGTACATGGTACAAGGGTAATGAACATAATGGAAAAAATCCAATGGCCCAGTGATTTGCTGGGGATTGAAGAGTTGGCCAGTAAGAACTAAAACCAATTTAAAAAAAACCCAAAAAACAAATTTTTTTTTTAAGGACAGTCATCTGTCAAAATATATTGGTTACTGTAATGGCTACAGTCAGTAAGGCACTTTTTTCCCCAAAGTAGGCTGCAGGCAAGGGAGTAAATGCTGCAGCTCCAGCGTGCACGTGTACACTTGCTGATGGCTTCTTGAGACCTGAGCCAAGAATCGGGTCTGATGGCCCAGCCAAGTCTAAAAGCAGAGACACACAAATGTAGGAGAACTGTTCGGGCTGAAATGACCGTTCTGGGTTGTTGAGAATCCAGAATCATGAAAAGCCACATGGTACGAGGAAGTCATAAAATCCTCTGGAATCTTCCTGCCCTATGTTGTACAAACGGATGACGGCCTGAGCAGCTCTCGAAAGCCGCCCTGAGCCCACATGGATAGAAGCCTGCACCCACTCTATAGCTACGGAGTTTGCCGGCTTAAGGGGACTTCACCGTCTCAGCACTAATTTCCCTTTTAAAGCTATTCTCAGGGTTGGACTGTCTCAAAGATAAACAAAGAGGAATCCTTTTGGCTTAGAAGCCAACTGGCTTACTCAGACTTCCTCCCCATTCCTACCTCCCATTCCCACACTACCAATATTATCTTCTTGAACTAGAAAATCATTATTTACATGATATAAGGTGCAAGTCTATTTCTTCTCCCAGCCCTGCCCCCTGTGGCCCATAGAGAGAAAATTCCTCTGCCCTCTTTGAGAAAGTCCCCCGATCGTGCCTGACATGCTTAACCTGTCAGTCCCAGAGTGGGGTGAAAAGGCCCCACAGGTGCCGGACCCCAGGAGAGCTGCGGCTGCCTCTGAGGAGAAGCCATCCTGCTCGCAAGGGACACAGGGTGGCACTGTCAGGGCTGCCTCCTCCGACCCACGAGGGCCCCTGACCTGGGGGGTAAAAGAGGCAGGACAGAGCCTCCTGCACAGGGACCACAGGGGACCTGGCTGTGAGACATGGTGAGCTCTTCAGTGGGGTCCTGGGGCAGTTCCAGAATAAAGCGTCCTCTAAGAGAAGCCCCTTCTCAGAGGAGCTCTCCTCTCAGGACGGGGAGACATTCTGCCGAGCGATATGTCCCCTGCGTCCACCGGCAGGCTACTTGGCTGTTATGAACCTGCATGGACTGAATTATGCTTAGCATATATTTTTGGCATACTAGAATTTTCCCCCCTACGATTTGGCCAAAATAGGGGAAGGAACAAAATTTGGCAGGCAAGGGGAACAACTTAGCCCCAAATGATGGAGAAAAACAGAGAGAGGAAGAAGTAGAGAAGAGACAGAAAGACAACAAGGTAGAACAAGACCAGACTAGGTCTGGAACCCCTTGAGTGGGAGGGGAGAAAGAGAAAAACGGAATCCACAGGGAGAAGTGAACTCCCCTGGGACAAAAGTCCTACCAAGGAAACCAAGACCCAACATTAAGAGGGTATTAGCCACTTGAACAAATCCAGGGTTCCTTCTTTTGTTTAAGGAGGGAGCAAGAAGAAAAGCCACACAAGCTAGCACCTTCCCCATCAGCAACCCCACAGCTCCCATCACACTAGGCTCCAGGAAGAAGAAAAAGCTAGAAGGCCCCATTGGCCCCCGGGGCTCCAGGAAAAGTGGAAAGTTACAGATGCAGGGAGAGTCTGCAGGCCTGTTCCCTTCCTTATTTGTCAGGTTCTCTCATTTGCTACTTCAGTGTGAGCCTAAGGGCTAGTCACTGTTAAATGAACGTGTACCATGTTTTCTCTTTAGGCTCCAAGACTCCCAAGAACTCTACAGACCATGCCTTCTTCCATTCTTTGGGACTCCTCAGGGCCCAGAAGAGAGTCCTGTGCAAAGTGGGCTCTTGATAAAACACTGGCTGTTCAGCTTTCCTCTCCAAAACTTCAGAATTCACCACCCACTGCCCCACCAGAAACTCCCTAGAATTTTAGGGTCATGCTAACTCACCAAATCCTGAACCCTTCTAAACACACTTCAAGAGAGACTGACTCATCTGGAATTGCCTCTCTGTAGAGAAGCAGCCGTTCCACCTCCCTTCCACGACCAACCCAATACTCATCTGACCTATTTTTCCAATCATGCCAATTCAATGCAATTTAAAACCTGAAAACCATTGAGTGACACTCAGCAGAGGACCTGGCCTTGCATAGTGCTTGATTGCCGCAGTCCGAGACGCGTGGGAGAAGGAACCCCCGCAACGCTGCCTGCTACAGATTCATATACCCACAGATTCAGACCTAGAAAACCTCTGAGATTATCCTAAACTGGGGATGCCCGGGTCAGGGACGGGGAGAGATACAGGGGAAAACTTCCAAGATGAAAGGACCCTAAGCAGATGAAAGCCCTGCTTTAGAAGGGCCACCAGATGAGGATTTCCAGACAGCCTGCTGGAATTCTTTTTAGTCTGTCTCCTGATACCTGGTACCTAAGTGCAAATTATGACTACCTACTCCACTGCCTCAGTGTTTGTGCTGAATGTCTGCCTTGCAGGGGAGGGGAAATCCCTTGGTTCAATTGTATTTTTTCCATCATGATGAGGATACCGGAGTCAAAATGGAAGCCCGATGACCTTCCTGACTGAACAGGTCCCTGGGTGTGAGACCCTGGGGCCAAACCCACCCCTCCTTCCACCTGAGGGGCACGCAGCCTCCTCCCCGCCTCTGTCTCCACGCTGATGGGCTCCCAAGCAGAAACTGTACGGTTGTGAGGTATTATGAAAACAAAAATATGAATCATTGTCTTTTGTAGCTGTTGATTTTGTCCAGTAAACCTGAGGTAAAGAATACTCTGTCTTTGAAGAATGTGATCAGAGAGAAAAAAAAAAAAAACCCAAAAAGGAAAAAAAAAAACCCATGAATACGCTACCAGAAGAAAACAAACTATGGAAGGGCTTTTCCAGTATGAAGAACTCATATCTCAACCATCTACTTCAGGACTTGGAATTTAAGCAGTAAAATAATATATTATAAAAATGTTTATAAAATAGCAGCACACTCTGTGAAACATTACAGCTAGGTACTGTTAATGTGAATAAGGATGAATGATCTTAGCTTCTTAGCAGCGCAAAAAAAAAAAATAATAATAAAAACTGAACACAATAAAATGAAAAATAAGAGACCCTTAGATTTTTCTCCATCTTCAACCCTCATACTACGAAACAAGGCAGAATCTGTGTATAAAATAATTCTTCAAAGTAGCCCTGTTCTGATTTTTCTTTTTTACTTAAAAAAGGCAAATATTTTAACAAATAGCTTCATTACCTGTCAATTATAATTGTGCAAAAAAAAAAAAAGGTTGTTGCTCCAACCTCTTTGCTAACTGAACGCTTCTAAGAAGTGGAGAGGAAAAAAATTCAAGTACGCTGAATACAACTTTGCAATGAAATTAACAAAAAACGGAAAAGGGAACAAATGCCACACTGTGATGGTCAGCTGTCTGTCTTTGCACCAGCAATAACTTTTCTTTCCATGTCCAAAGGAGAAGTATATAGGTGGGAATTAAGATCCTTCTGTGCCATCAAAATGGTAACAGATCTTTGTTTTTAGGCTTTTCTGAGGAATGTTGTGATGGGAATGTCAGCGGAAAGGGGTGTCTCTTGAATCCTGGTAGGGACACCAGAACTATGTACCAGAGAATGTCAGATACCAGAGGTGAACAGTTACCCGACTGGGGTCAGGAGGGGAAGGGGCACAGGAGAAAAAGGGGAGGAGTCTATTCAGCACGATTTGCATAAACCATCCCATCTATCCCTCAGGAACAATTTTTCAAAGTGCTTTTCGAATGGAATGGTTTATAACAATGCTAAACTGTGGACCAGACATGCCAATCAGCACCAAAAATTAGTAAGGGATGCCAAGGTCACATTACTCTCTTCAATACATTAACAGAAAAGATTCCATTCCAGATCCCACCCTTGATCTCCATCTGCCTCCATTTCATATGAGTTTTGGTTATGGCCCATAGCTAGATTGCCCCCTTAGATAAAAATATGGTGGTGTCTGCAATGAACCATGTTTGGAAGAAGAACCAAGATGTCAAACCCCAGGAAACCCAGGATCCAATCACCTGTGTCCAACTGGCAAAATCAAACATCTTTTTTAGGTAGCAGCTACTCTAGACAGCAAGTTTGTAACTAGAGACCCAGTAATGCTCCTGACTTAGTAACAAACAGGTGGTCGAGAGCAAAGGTGTTTCTACAACCAAAATGATTCAGTCACGTTGAGAGATTGGTTTGTACTCCCTCCCCATCATGTCCCTCCTTATTTCTAATTCCTTCTTGAGTTCATCGCTTTGCAATCTAATCCTGCCATAAATGGCATACGCAGTTCCTTGAAATTATACTAAAAGGGGTGTATATGTGCTAGTTCATAACATGAAAAAAAAAGTCTCCTCTAATTTGTTCCCATATTGCAGGCGTACATTTTCTCTAGCTACTCTGCAGGTTTTCCTGTAAGCATTTTACTATTACTTTTAACATAATCAAACAATAACTGTTCGCATATACAAGGGATTCCCTTCTGTTGTACTTGAAATAGGCACCAAATGCTTTTAATTATTCCGTTTTTATAGGACCGTTTTCTCTCACTTCTAAAAGATCTTTCAATATGATCTAGGTGGGGGCAGAATTTTTTTTTTAAGTTTCATCCTAAAACATAAAGAACAAAACACAATCAGAGAGAAGGAGAGAGCAGATTTGCACATGTCTCTCCCGTTCGGCCCGACTGACATCCTCACAGGTCAATATCCCGCACGTCTGTGGGGGTGCTGGCTTGGTCCAGTTCATCCTCCGACTTGGCTCCATCGCCCTGGTCCTGACGGAGCTGCTGCAGGCTGTTGAGCAGCACCACCTCAATCTGCTCCTGGCAGGCTTTGAGGCAATCCTAGAAGGAGAGTGGTCCAGACCAGAGCTGTTAGCAAGGTCAACAGTGCACAGAGCCTTTTATGAAGCAAACATACACAGTTCAAGCCTCGCATAATTCCGTGCTAGTTTTCCAGTAGAAATAAATGTGACGTAAAGGAGATGTGTTCATGAAGTGCCATAGAACCTCTACTCCAGGTGGGGTCCATGGGCCGGCAGTATCAGCATTACCTGGAAGCTTGTTAGAAATGCAGAATCTCAGCCCACTCCAGACCAATATAATCAGAACCTGCATTTTTAGCAAAAGCCCAGGTGATTCATATGCATGTGAGACTCTGAGACACACTGCCCTAGAGGATGAGCCATTTATGGACATGCAGCACCTGGTAAGCAAAGGGCCAACGAGATGCCTTCCGCTTGGGGAAGCTGGGAGGTGAGAGAGAAGAGAGGAAGGCCAGGACTCCAGACACTGCTCCAGGACTAGACAACACAGCATGTGAGGAATAGATAAGAACAAAGAGGATGGACTGAACTGTACTAACCTTTACATAAACTGTGTGAGTGCTTAAAACGAAAAAATCTGTTTTTCTGCTTATTTACCACTCCCTTAACGCTGATAAAAATACAACACAGTATGTTTACAAAATTCTAGACACTTGAGCTGTCCAATTTGGGAATAAGCAAGACTTTGCAGCATTGCTTTGATATTAGTCTATATTTGGTAGGGAAAATTCAGAGTGTTTGCCCCAGGCAGAAGCTTCTGTTAGCTGGATGCCATGGCAATTCATGGTGTCACTGGAGAGGGATGGTGGTTCATACTAGCAAGTGGCGTATGAACTGAAGAAATTGCTCTTAGTAGAGACTTCCCAGCCTCTCTCCTCTGCAAGGCTGCTTTTCTGCATTCCCTTAAGCAGCATATACATATGGGAAATATGTTAAATTGATTCTGCCTGGGTCTTCCCACAGTTTAATATGTGCTTCCCTTTTGTTTGTTTCCCTGTGCAATTTTCACTGCTGAGGTTACTCTCTGCCAAGCACAAAACCATTATCTTTATTTTTCTAAGACCTAAAATAAACGGGGAGTTAACTACTCAGAAGCAAAGTTTCCATACCCCCCAATTTTCCTTTCCTAGCTCTCGTCCATTTCACATTTCAAACTACAGCTTTTTATGAAAATTAAGATTAGGAACAAGAGCACAAACTGAGTGCTAAGGGCAGAGATGAAGTCTCACCTGGAATGTAAGAAGGAAGAGAGGGAAGGTGGTACTTGCTATCCACCTACCACACTTGCAGGCAGCAGCTATGTTTTTTAACTTCTCTGATCTCAGTTTCTCCACTTGTAAAATAAGGATAACAAAATGCTCACAGAGTGAAGATCAACTGAGATCATATATGTGAAGTGCTAAGTTCAATAAATGATAATCATTTATTATGAATAGCAATAAATCAGTCCCGGAATCTGAAATAATTCTTTAGATTTCTTTAAAATGGGGTACTGATTAGCATTTGCTCCAGATTGGGGAAGGGGGCACTGTGTGCCTGGCACCAGGGATCGAGTGTCAAACAAGACAGACATCACCCTGCCAGAGAGGCCTGCGTGCCACCCTAACAAGCCGAGGAGGAGTCAGGGATGGGCAAACCACCACCATCTCTCCAACTTTTCTGTGGCATCTCCTGGTCACATCCTCCACCCTGTCTGATCCCCCAAACTTGGGACTAGAAACCGGATGGCCTCGCCTGCCACCCTGCCCTGCTCTCCCTGCTCCTCCTCCAGCCCACCCTACAGTGGCTATCCTCCTGGGTCACTCACCACTTCCCAAAGGTACTTGGTGAAGGCTGAAGGCATATGTTTCTAAGGGCACTTGCATTTCAGTAGAAGATAAGTGAAAACCTCAAAGCCTTATAATCTAAAAAAATCAATCTTAAAACAAGTCAAAGCTAACATGGGGGTTAACAAGGCAAAAAACAACTCTAGTCAAAACCGCTCTTAGGAAAGTCCCTTAGGAAGGTCCTGAGTCCGAGATGGACAGTGAGGCCCACTCTGTCAGTTTTCCGCTCAAAGCTGAGGTTGACAGCTTGTTCTCCATTAGCACCATCTGAGGGAGCTGACTTCTTCTTAGGGGCCATGCTGGTGGCATAGGACCATCTTCAAATACTGGAATCCTCATAAGATGCCCCCACCCCCCAGGGGTGCGCAGAGCTGAGACAGGAGCAGCGGCAACAGGTCTCGCGTCTCCAGCGCCTTCCCTCACTCCCCTGCCTCCCTCACAGAGGAATGCCGAGCCACAGGGCTTAAATTAATATTATTTTCCTCTTTCTTTTTTTCTTGCAGAGACTAGTGACTTGAATCCAAGCAATTCCTGTGTGATGCCCCTCCACTACACAGGTCCTTCAAGAGCTGCTGAAGGTTATGTTTGAAATTTTTTTCTAGGAGGCAGGGGGAATGAATCAGAACCCTTCCCTACCATAGAGGTAGTAACTGTATGCTTGCCTCCACAGAAGGCAAATCCTACCCAGAGCATACGGCATGAAAAAGGCTTTGTTATCTAAAGAAGATGGCCAGATTCTCAGCTGCTCGAGGGACCGTGTGTGTGTGTGTGCAGGGACAGACAATAGCTCTGAACCATTAAATCCAAGAAGAAATGCCTGGCAGGTGCCAGCAACGAGGCCCCTACACAGAGAGCTTCACACGGCACAGCTACTTGGACAGACTTCTCGACGTGAAGTTCCTGGGCAAGACCTTGCCCACAACAAGAAACCTCGTGTCTCCCGGCCCATCATGTCTGGCTTTCTTTCAGAGGCTCTATTTTGGCCCCATAGAGAGGTAATCTGGGTCAGCACACTTTCCACCTCAACAATATGACCAGCTCAGGACGCCATGATCATCACTGCGTTAGCCACAGCAGCCTCTCTGAGATAGACGGTCCTTCAAATGGGGAGACAGGGCTCCAGAAAGCTAAGAACTTGATTTCAGGCCAAGTAGAGTCTTCCATTTGGGGTCATCAATGTTTCTACTGTTCCTGGCGTTCAGCCTTCCCTTCCAGCAGCCTGAGACCCTAAAGAAATAGTTCCGAGAAAATCCTACAGGGAGGGCTGGGACATTTGGCAGTCACTTCTACTGGCCTTTCAGAACCATGGGACTTCAAGATAACACATGCATCAAGTGTCACATTTATATAAATTCCAGCCAAGAACACATGCAATGGCTTTTCTGAGTAAAATCAAGGAAGATTTCATATAAAACATATATTCGCCTTTCTTCAGTCCCATTTTAAGTTCAATCTAAATCATTACTATGGCCAGCTCTTGCTCTTTGATCCCTCTTACTTGAAGAGAAAAATGATGACTACAGCAGTTATCCCAGAAATGAGGGACCCTGAACCCCATTCCCTGCTCTCTTCTAGATTCATCTGTGACAGAGCAGGAAGCTAAAGCTCTGTGGGGTCACTCATGTCCCCCATTCCTGGAAAGCTCGCTGGGCTCTCTGCCTCACCCTCCTTCAGGTTCTACTTCACAACTTGGCTGTTATCAGCTCGAGTTTCAACTGTGTGGATCTCTCCTTCTTAGCTGGATGAAAAACTTCTTAAGGGCAAGAGCCTGTCTTGTACAGACGATGTTGAACATTCTACTCTCTGATGACGGCGAGAAAGAAGTCAGCACCACCTTCCTTGAGACAGCCCACTCCCTGCATTTTAATACCCTTGTTTAGTATTGTAGGAACCCTTCTTGGATTTCCAACGAGCAGTGAATTTTCTGTGAGCTGGTGGGAAGTTAAGGAAGAGGAGAACGTGTGGTGGTGCCATTACGTGCAACCAGACAGGCCAGCTCCACGCAGCCCCATTCTGGCCCCAGGAGCTCCCAATCTCCCGAGCAGCGGGCAGCAGAGTGCCTGGGATTGGGGTGCGGAGGCGGTGACCTGGGGGAAGGAAGCACCCTGCCTCACGTCCAGCGAGGCTGCTTGTGCAGGAGGTCAGGCTGAGAGAAGGAAATGGAAGGGGAGGCAGTTGAAGAGCCTGAAGGGAAAACGAGGCAAAGCTAGAGAAGAGTGGAATCACAGTATTTCCACAGGGCAGAAGTATAAGACGACACACACAGATAGTTACAGAATGTGAGATTTTGGGGGTCCAACAGGCTTTTGGAGATCAAACAGCCAGATGCCCTCATTTTACAGCTAAGAACTGAACAGAAGCCCGGCTTGTCCCACAGTTACATCCAGTTAGAAGATAAGCCCGCCCTTAGAAGGGCGAGCCTTCAATTTCAGAACTCTTTTCCTTATGAACCTCTGCTTCTTCCCAGCTCTAAGTAAAGACATACAAGGCAGAGAATCTCCAAGAAAGGGAGACCCAGCCCAAGCAGCCAGAAAAAACTCAACAGCGCCTCCGATGAAAAGATGCTACGTGCATGTAAAGTGCAGCGGCTCCGGGACCTCTGCTTTCCGGCAGCCTCCCAAAGCACCAGCCATTGTGTTAAGATGCCCCAAATCAAGCTGATTAAAAGGAGAGCCATAATGCTCGTCTGTCGGCCTGGACAGGTGGCACTCCACAGCGCTGGAGGTCGGGCAAGCCTCCAACCCCGAGGATGATAGGCCCCTCCCCTGCACCCCCCAGCCTCAGAGCCCTGACAGCAGTGTTTGTGATCTCCAGCTCGTTACACGGGCCTCCGACTTCCTCTGCTCGCTGGCTCAAGCTCTGCGCCCTGCACCCTCCTCGGCCCCCATGAATGGGCTGACGGAACTCCTACCATTAGCCCTCAGTGTAACTGCATCACTCCATTGTCACCACACACGCACTGCACTCAACAGGGAGACAAAGGGCTGAATGAGCCCCAGACCCGCAGCCAACTCAGGCAGAGACAACTTAGGAAACTATCTCATTCTTCCTTTCTTCACAGGCGGTTTGGCTTATTTCCTTGCATACCAAATGAGGCCTGCAGAAAAAATAAGGCAGGAGAGGGAAGCACCAGCTCCAATTCTGTTCCCTCCACCTCCCCACCCCCAGCTTCCTTCCCAGCAACTCTTCACAAGGTTCTCGACCACAGGCCCTGAAAAGTCCAAGGACAGTCTCAGTGATACGGAGGCCTCTAGAATAAGGTGTGTGGGAGAGGGCTGGTGTTTCTAGCTGAGGAGGACCAACACACAATGCTGGAGACCCTATGGATAACATGTAGTCAAAATCCAGGCTTCTTCCATGGCACCGCTCACTGTTTTTTAATAGCTCATTGACAACCAGAATCATAGCATGCCAGGATGACCCTAAGGAAGAAAGATCCTGGAATCTTCTCTGGGAGATATTTTAGAATGTGACCGAGTTTTGATGTGACCTAGGTAGAAAAGGATAAATATAATGGCCACATGACTAGAGCCTATATCTGTTCTGTTAAATATCTTCCAATAACTTCACAACATCTTCATGGCCTGTGAGCCTCAATTCTGCTGTTTCATTAGTGAATTAGTAAAACTGTCATGTGAAAATGAAGTGACTTGTTCTAAGATAAAATCAGGTAAAACTCAGAGGACCCGGACATATAATTAACGTGAAGAAATAGCTTTCCAAAAGACATGCAGGGCCAAAGAATTAGAAATACACTTGAAACCCATCTGCCACCCTTTGTCCTCCATTCCTTCCTTCCTCCTTCCCTCCCTCTTCAGCATCATTCCCCAGTGGCTCTGCCAGGGGCTCTGGAGAAAGAGCTGAGTAAAAGTTGGGTGTTGTTCAAGAGGTTCTATAGACAAGTGAAAAGTGAGATAAACGCTGGCACCAAGCGTGAGCAAAGTGCCCGGGGACGGAAGAGGAACCCCGATTCAGCAGGGAAAGGTTCACTGGGGAACCAGGACAGTCCATCCCCCCCTCAAACTTACCCTTGGCAACGGAAGCCCCGGTAGAAGTTCCCCTAAAAGCCAGAACTGCCTCTCTGGCTGGTGTCTGTTTTTAGCAACACTTATGAGTGGAAGGAAAAAGTACTTAAAATATACCACCCTCTGAGACTTTTATTCCCTGTAAAACTGTCAGGCTTCTCACTCAGCCTTCTCTTTGGAATGAAGCGTTCCGGTTTATTTTGGCAACCAGAGGGAGCAACAAAGACCGACTTTCTCAGAGCTGCATGGGTCCCTCCTATCAAAGCTATCTGCTGTGGCCAACGAGCCAGAGAAACTTGTCTGGCTGTTGCAAAGGACTCAGGGCAACCCTCTTTCAACAGTTTGATCCTTGACAATCCATGGATAGAGAACACTGTAAGCTTGAAGAGATCACAGCTAGCAAGGTGCGTGGAGGCAAGCACAGGACTGCTGGGATTCTGGGGTGAACTGTCGGCTCTTCCTGATTCCTACTCGTTAGTACATTAGAGCCTGGGGGACAAAATGCGATCCGTGTGTGTGTCTGTGTGTGTGTGTGTACATATATTTTTTTTATTGTGGCAAAATATATGTAACATAAAATTTACCATCTTACTCATTTTTAAGTGCACGGTGGCATTAAGTACATTCACATTGTTGTGCAACCATCACCACTCTGCATCTCCAGAACTTTTTCATCATCCTAAACTGCTACTCCATACGCATTAAACGCTGACTCCCCATTCCCTCCTCCCTCTAGCCCCTGGTAGCCTCTATTCTACTTTCTGTCTCTATGAATTTGACTATTCTAGGTACCTCATATAAGTGGAATTATATGATATTTGTCTTTCTGTGTCTGGCTTATTTCACCTAGCATGTTTTCATGGCTCATCCATGTTGTAGTGTGTATCAGCATTTCATTTCATTTCAAGGTTGAATAATATTTCCTTGCATGTACATACCACATTTTGTTTCTCCATTCCAAGGACAATTTCTATCACCAAGTTTACTCTGCTGGGAGGCCTGCGTTTACATTAGGCCTGGTGAGGTCCTTCCTCTGAGCTGATTTCCTACTGCATTTATAGTTCTCATACATTACTGAGTACTCGTTCATTGACTGTCTTCATTTGCTAGAGTTTACATGCTTTACTCTTGGTTCTCCATACAATCGCTAAGTTCCTTGAAGGCAGGAACCTCATCTTTCATTTCCCATGCACTACCCACCCACCCCAACTTCTACCATGCCTTGGGTCCATGCCTTGCTCATCTCTTATGCCTTGCTCATAAGGCAACAGTCTGCAAAAAGTGGACCTTTAATAAATATTTTCAGAAATGATTGGAGAGTAAGTGCTTGAAATGGACTTCTTGACTCATGAAATGGTAAAACAGAGCTCAGGAAGCAAAACTCACCTCCCTCCAAATGCTCAGGCCTTCTAAATTCTAGTCCCTTTATTTGCCTTCACTCTGAGCTTCACTCTTCAGAGCACACAGGCTCATGGATGCGGGGAGACTTAGCACTTGGAAGTTAGGCACACACCGATAGCCCAGCCCAGGGCTGCTCAAGCCTTTCCACTAAGAACATTTCTAGGGAGAGAGTGAATAAGTCTCTGGGGACCAGAGATAAGCTTGGAACTTACAGAAGTCTCAAGTTGTTATCTGAAGAAGTGGTATGAATTTTATATTCTATTATGTTCACGCTTGGTTTTTAATACTAAAATGTTTAACCCCAGGCTCACTGGTGAGCATGAGGCACATGCCTGCATATCCAGGTTAATAGCTGGGATTTATAGGAGGAGACCTCTAAGCTGGTTTTGTATCCATTTAACTCAGTCTGACAGCTGACTTGAACGGACTGGCTACATAGTATCTGGAAAGAGCCAGCAGTTTCTCCAGCATGAAATGAGAGACTGATTGCAGTCTTGAAAAGCAAAGCATAGCCCAAGAGCCTCAGTGGCACCCCAGGAGTGACCTCTGTCCATGTGAAACCAATAAGGGGTGACAAAAAGATGTGGAAGAAGGCTGGAGACCGGGTGGGGCAATCAGCCAATCAGAGCAGGTCTATAAATATCTGAAAGAGCTTACAATGCCTGGGGGTCAAACTCTTGTCACTGACATTTTTGTCTCTGGGGGTCGAGGAAGGGCTTGTCTTAAGCTGGTTGGGAGTCCTTTTTGCAAGGCAGCCTTAATAGGAGATATTCAGAAAAGGAAGGAAGCGTAACATTTCTATAAATGTTAAGTTCTGTCCAAGATTTGTCTCTAGAGGATTCAAAAAGCATTCTTCACGTGAAGCTGCACTGGAGGGGTCTTTTCAATCTGGATTTTGGAAACCGTGTTTAAAAAGCCTATGTTTTGGAGCTGGCATTTTACAAGCATATCTAAGAACTGTTTCAGAGGAGGACCCCAGGTTTGTTCCATCACGCCGTTCAACACCTCCCTGAGCCATTTCCCTGAGATGGTAATAAATGCCACGGCAAAATATAGGGGGGGGGCGGTGGACGAGAAAACCAGCAAGCTGCAGCCCTGGGCTCTCTGAGGTCTAGCCTCCTGCTCAGCATCCCTGGTGGAGGCATCCGGCTGGCCTGTAAACCACATTATCCCCTACCTCAGTGTATTCCCACAGCAGGGCATTCAGAATCCCCCTGGAACATCCCGACGGGGTCCTCATGAAGTTCCCCTGCATTCTTGAGCATCTCCATGGTGACTCACGAGGGCCACACAGCTAACACCCCTCTCAGTTGTCTTTAAACCAAAGGCCTTTTTCAAACAAAAAGATCCCAGGAGCTGCAGCAAGGGTGGAGTGCAAAGTTCCCAGGCCAGGCGTCCGAGCTTCCAGGTTCTCATCCCAGCTCTGCTGCTGCCCTCCCCTCCCCCAGGCTGTGACCTCCGCCCTCTGCACCTCCCACCTCCTGCGGAAAACTATAGGAACTGCCTCTGACCTCTCAGAACCACCCTGGCTCGGACCTCCTGAGGATCACAATTTCCAACCAGCTGAATCAGAGCCTTACTTGACCCTGGTCTGTCTCAAAAGCTTTCTTCTTCTAAGGAGCTTCAAATTCTGGCAACCAGAATTACAGCCTCTGGGCCGTCCACAGGGCACACACAGTGGAAAAATCTATAGCTAATAATAGTTCCTTGAATGTGTAGGGCACTTGATTCTTTTAAGAGTGCTTTCGAATCCATTACCACATTGAACAAAAGGGAAGTGAGAGACAGGCAGGCTTGAGAGGTCTGTCAAGGCCGGACACCATTCTTATGGTGGGCACCTCTTGTACCTCTGCTCCGTCCAGTGCAGCAGATCCCTGCTCTAGCTGTCCCTTCTGCTCTCTGTGCCTTCCAGCTTCAGTGTGTGTGAGCAGACACAAAAGATCCAGACTGTGGAGGAGAGGCAGCCTGACAACGTGGACATAAATGGAAATGAAGCAACAATTCAGCCCCATTAGGAAGCCCAGGCCATAAAGGAAAACTAGTAAACAGCCCTCCCTCCCCCTTGTATCTGCTTGCTAAATTCTTTTCTCTATTTAATGGCACACAGCCTTTTGAAACCTTAAGAGGAGGCCTCATCTGTATTTTGTACTACCTTGGATATTGATCTTAGAAAACGGAAACCAACCACAAAAAATACCTCTGACACATCATCGTCAAACCGTCTCTTTCCCTGAGCTGAAAAGAGAGAAGTCTGGTCTTTACCAAGATGATGGCTGCCACCTACCACGTCTGTGTTGGTGATCTTGGCCAGCAGATCTACCAGGGCATCGCCAGTGAGCGAGCTCACGTCCTCATCCTGCTGGAGCCCACAGATGGCAGCTCCCACACTTCCAGTTGCAATCATTGATGGCGGGTACATGGCAAACTTAAAGTCTGTGAGAACAAGAGGCAAAAGGTTAGGGCACAGGAAGAATCTGGATCCAGGAGCTCCCCAGCCTGAAGATACTCAGAAATAGGGTGGTGGCAGGTCAGCTGCACAAGTGACCCCTTACTCTACAGACGCATACTCTCCTGACTCTTTCCTTCACAAGACAGCCTTTATTTATTTGCCATCACTGTGGCTGTTCCAGATTTAAAATGAGGAGACCGATGCAGGGAAAGTAGAGAGCTTATCCGAGTGCACAAAGTGAATTCACCGAGGACTCAGGGCCCCCAAGCCTCAGCCCCACAATCTTGTGAGGGGTTAGTGTGTGCAAGGGACTATTCTGGGGAGGAAGGTGAGTGAGACACGGTCTCCTCTGGAGGTGACGGAGGAGCAGAGCGAGGAGGCCTGAGACCAGTAGAGGCAAGACAGCACACGTGCCACACAAGTGAGACAAAACAAGGGTTCTAGATGTTGGAAGGAGGAGGTAAAATTTTATGAAGAATGGTAATCCTAATGTAACTTTGCCGTATTCTCTGGATAGGCATCGAGGACTAATATGGCCCAAAACAAAAAAAGATGCTTTTACTAAAAAAAGGAAATGGGGGCCGGCCCCATGGCGTAGTGGTTAAAGTTCGGCTCCACTTCAGCAGCCTGGGTTTGCGGGTTCGGATCCTGGGTGCAGACCTACACCATTCGTCAAGTCATGCTGTGGTGGCAGCTCACATACAAAATAGAGGAAGACTGGCACAGATGTTAGCTCAGGGTGAATCTTCCTCAGCGGGGAAAAAAAAAAAAAAAGGAACTTAAGTCTTAAGTGAGAGAAGCAGCAAAGGAGGGGACAAGGTGATGGGGACTGAGTTTTACACAATTCCCAACTTCTAGCCCAATGCCAAGGACCTCAGAACATTAGAGAGAGAACAGGAATTTAATCAAGTACCCAAGATTAACCACTGCACCCTAACCAGATGGATGAGCTGGTTTAGATTTTATGGCTCTTGGGCCTGAAAATCCCATTTTCTTGCTGGAAAAAAAAAAAAAGAGTAGTTTGCTAGAGAGAAGTGCAAAATGAGGATAAATTTGAGGGGCTCAAACTCCCTCCATTTCCATTTCTCCAAGAGCAAATACAGAGAATGCCCTTATGCACTAGACGGCTCAGCTTGGGAGACCAAACATCCAATTTCTTCTGAGCACTCCCCAAAAGGGGCTGGTGAGCAAGATCAGCCACTGCTCCATCCATCAAGGGGAGATAAGGAAACCCACACCTTACTCCTGTTAGTGCTGCTAACAGGTACCACCTACCAACACATACAGTACCTTACACGTTACGTCCCATTTAAGCCACACATCAACCACATAAAGTGCACACAATTATTATCCTAATGTTGTGGGTGAGGATCCGAGACTTCTGAGGGTTTAAAGTGCCCTCACCCCTGCCCTGAGCTGATATATTAAAGAGGCTGTAGTGTCATCACTCATCCTAACAGTCCTGGAGTGGAGCCAGTCTTCCGCAGTACGCTCTTTCTAGTTTCAGCATACTCCAGTGAATTTACTGTATGTGGAAGTGGAAGGGGGTCGGGAGGCAGGGTGCGGAGGGAAGACACGGGTCACCTTTCACATTATAGCATAAATATTAGGTTGAAGCTACAAAAACAGTTCAACCTAATATTTCTCCTTCTTCCTGTTATAACAATATATTCCATGGACGACACCATCACGTCGGTGGTGTTCTTAGAAACCCCACTTGATCACAGAACCATGCACATGCCTTCCCTCCCATCTCCGCTGAATCCCATAACAGAGCAGGCCTGGCCGTCTGTCTGTCTTGCTCCTTGGCTTTCTCTCCTTAGCCCATTCACATTTCTACCTCTTGAGGGATGTATATTGTGGCGTTCCACCCACAACCTGCTGTGCACTAACCCCTCCAGGGCCTTCTCCATCCCCGTGGCCAGTGACAAAGCCGGCCTCTCTGCCTCCTGCTCTGCTGTAGGTCTCTTCCACATGGGGTCACAGGAGAGTGTTTCTCTGCCCAATAACCTCGTTAGCTTCCCCCTGTGACATTCATAATGCAGACGAGGCAGCCAGCCCATGGCCCTGGGCCCACGGTGGGAGCATCAGGCAGGGAAGGGCATCTCTGCCCCAGGCCTCAGACCAGGAAGCACACCTCACACATGGGTAACTTTGCTGTTCCACTGCATGCAAAACCAACTCCTATTTTTAGCAAATTAATTAACTTCTGGAAGCCAGGGAATTTATATGGGTGGTCCTGGGGTGCAGCAGGTGCTAGAGTTGCCCAGAAGGACTCTACCTCCCTTCTTGCTTTGCTAAGATACTGCTGAGGGGAGTTCCCCTGGGGACAGTGTCCGCTGCCCCCAGAATTGGGGAGCACTGTGTGCATGAACATGGCTGCCTCTTGGCAGCTCAGAGGGGCACACACTGGGCAGAGTGCTCCAGTGGCAAGAGAAAAAGAGCTGCTAGAAGCTGGGCCAGCCCCTGTGCCACTCCTCCGCTGCCCACAGAGCAGCAGACCAGTGTCTTCTCTAGAACCCTGGGCAACTGCCCAGCTCCTCCGAGTTAGTCAGACAGGAGGCGACACTAGCACTAAAGCCAGGTCCACACTGCAAGACCCTGGGCAAGTCACTTCATCCCTCCAAGCCTGGGAATTCCGTTTGTCTAAAAAGGGGTTACATGAGTTACATCAGCAGTTTTAAAACTTCCAGTTGCAACTCATTAACGGGCCATGAAGTTCATTTGTCGGTCGTGACCAGCATTTTCTGTTGTTTAATTGAACAGAATAGGATAGAAAGTATCAGGAAGTAATGCATATAGTAAGAGTAGGTATTGTTTTGAGAAACTTTTGTATCAGTTTGAGGTACCCTTATGAGTATCCTGAGTTGTGTTATAAAATGTATTTCTTCCTTCAGGGTTTAAGTAAAAAGCTGGAAGACAGTAGGCTGACTAATCTCCCAGGTGCCTTCCAGCTCTAATTTGCTTTTACTTAAGGATCTGGAATAAGAATGAGTCCTAAGAAAAAGCACAAGTACGAGACAATAGAAATAGCATGGCTTCCACCAGCCAGCAGTCACAAGGCATCTGTCCTCACAGAGCAGTGCTAGTTCTGCAGGGCATCAGCGGCTGCCCCACCACCACTTGCAGGGACACCCCCTCTCTGCTGGTAGGGGAAACAGCAGAGAGGAAAACACCAGAATGAAACATCTGAAGGGTCGTGTCCTTGTACTAGCTCTATTTAGCCAACTTCTACACTCACCCGTGGAAATTTCCACCCAACCCGTTCAGCCATTCCTGGAAACCTTAAACTTTGGCTGCGTAACCATATTGAGAGATGCTCATGATATCCACTTGAGAGAAGGGGGCAGAAAAATCAAAACTTCATGCACGCTTGCTATGATCAAGATTGCAATCTTCCATAAATATATAAATACATATATACACATGCATATGGATGAACTGGGAGGATACGCAGAAAATGTTCGTAAAATTTCCTACCATTAGGAGGGGGAAATACTAATATGTTCGTAAAATTTTCTTTTAATATTATTTTATTTTAGCAAATAAAAACCAACTAAAAACCTCTCAAATCTCTACATCTCTTGGTCAAAAATGCCAGTAAGCTGCATCTTGGTGCAGAAGGCACACTCAGGGGTGAGGGTTTATTTCCACCCTCAGTTGCCCACCTGGAAAGGAGAGATGTTTGTGACTTCCTGAGAGCCCTCCTCCTGCAGCAGAATGACAGGCAGTTAACTGACCAGGGACCCATCCAGACTGAGTTATTACAACGTGTTCCTCCCTGTGCCGGGCAGCACGGATAACTCCCCCAAGATATAAAACACAGTAATACAACGCAGCATGGTGCGTCCTAAATGGCTAGGTACGTATTACATGGGCAACTTCTCAAGAAACTTAAAGAAAGGAGGTGCTCAAGTGGACAGGAGCATTGGGGATACCTAGGAGGACTCTCCCAGGAGCTGGCAAGGATTTAGACAGCAGAGTCAAGAAGGTCCAAGAATCAGAAGGTGCAGTGCGTGGAGGCTGACGTCCCACTACCTACCAGCTGTGTGAAGATGGGCAAGTTAACTGAGCTCTCTGAGCCTCCGTTTTCCCCCCTTCAAGTAAGGATAATGATACCCACCTCACAGGGTTGTTCTGACTAAAATAATCCATGTAAAAGTACAGTGCCTGGCTCGTAGTAAGCAATAAACATCAGCCACCACCACCACCATCATCGTCACCACCATCCCTATTCTTACCACTGGAACTTCCTATGGGCTTGTGATGGGCAACTCTGACTGCTGGAGATTCTGTTCAGCATCTGCAGGGGTGAGGAGAAAGGTGCCCAGCATCCCTGGACTGCAGGCAGATGCTGAGAGCAGGCCAAGCATGCCGAGGCCAGGAAGAATGAGAGCTCTGGGCTGCCTGGAGAATCCTCCACTGTCAATCATGTGTGTGTCCCAGAAATGACCTCATTGAGTCCCCAAAGCCTCCTGCTGGTCTGTCAGGAGTGGGAGAAACCGAGGTCCCACAGGAGAATGGAAAGAGCTCACAAGCATGCAATGAGTGAAAGTCAGAAGTTGGCAACTCTCTTCCCAGGGTACCCCATATTCATCCAGAGGCAAGAACAACGCCCACACACTAGAAGCCTCTGCATGACCTCCTCCCTCCTAATGAGGAGGTGGAGGCAAGGGGCACACTCTAGGGGGATCCCAGCTCTACAGATGAGCACAGGCACCTCGGGTGCTGTGTGCTCATCCCCGTGGTAGTGATGGTGAGGTATTAATAAAAAACAACTCCAAATTCATCTCTTTCAAAACACTTCCTTTGACAGGTGAATCAATGAAATCTTGAGAGGTTAAGAGACTTGTCTAATGTCTAATGCTGGGCCTGGGGTTAAGATCGAGTCTTCTGGACTCTGGATCCAGTGCTCTTTATAACTCACCAGAAGGTGACTAGCTCCTCAAGGTCACCTCCCACATCCCACCAAGGAAGACAAGGTCGTCTTTCCTATCAGAAGTGGAGGAAAGAGCCCTGGCTCAGGAGTCAGAGGCAGGTCTCAGTCCTAGCCATGGCACCAGCAAGCACGAGCTGTTCACCACCAGAGCAGCTCCTCGGGGCCCCGCTGGGCTCCTTAATCTGGCCGTGAGAAGTGCTCGATAGTCATCAACTTGGCACCTGCCCTTCTTGGTAAGATTTCACGGAAGAAAGAGTTCTGAGCTAGACGGGTTTAAGACCATGGATTACCCGGCCCTATGAGGTGAGTCCAGCCCTGCTTGTTTTGGCTCCAGTGGCAAGGCCTAGTGTACGAGTGCTTTGCTTTTGCTCACCACTAGGGGGCGAGAGACACTTGTTCTGAGGCTGAAGACAAATAGGGAAGCCCCAGTCAGGCATTTCCCCCTCTCTCCCCCCCCCCAACCTGCAGTCAGGTGGAAGTTTAAAAGGCCAGAACCCTGGGTGCTCATTGGCCAACAAATGACGTCAGCAGCACGCATCTCATCTGCCACCCCCAGAATAGGTTCAGCACGCCCTGTCCTTGACAGCTGAGGCCATTTCACTCCTAAGGCCTCAGGGGAGGTGGAGGGGGGGAGATGGCTGGAGAACAGCAAGCAGCCTGCTCCTCATTCATCTCCAGCCAGATAGGAAATGAGATAGCCCTCCTCACACTGCCTGTCCCCACGGGGCGCACTCACAGAAAAACCAAGACTCCCGGTTCCACACACCACTTCACCTCAGCCCCGTGACCTCTCAGCCATAGAGGCAGCTCAGAGGCTCACAGATGGAAAGGCGGTTTCAATTCTTCCTTCCTGACAACCACTGAGGCAAACCTCCCTTTCTGAGTCAAGGACCAAGTCATCTACCCTCTCTGGGCCACCACTGTCTTACCACCACCTGGGGATGAAAAGTCAGGAAACACCTTTAGGTAAAGCCAGGAGGACCTGGAGAGCACATGAGTTGTCATTGTCTCTGGGGCTCAGGCCCTGGGTGGGGAGCCCAGGACTGGTCTGTGTGGCACAAGAGCGAAGTACAGCATCTTGAGGTGGGGCTCCTGGGCAAAAAGGGGAGACGGCGGTGGCCAGGGGCAGGGAGCTAAGCACCTCCTCCCCACCCCCGCACCAAGCTCAAACTCAACGCCACTGGCCCTTCTAGACTAACTGGAATCATCTGTTGAGCATGATATCATGCATCAAGAATCTCCCAACGCCAGAGCGCAATCCTGAGTCATCTCCGGTGGTCTTCTTTCCTCATCTGCAGACCTGAGGGGCTCTACCATCAGAGCTACAGCCAGGGGAACACTAAGGCTCAGTTCTGCTTCCCGGGCATCAAAAGCTCTAGGAAAGGGAGTACCAGGAGCTGGTAGTTATAAAGGTCGCCCCCTCACCCTCAAGGCCTCCACTGACCAGGACCAGCCCGCAGAGGGGTGCCAGGCAGTTGGAGGCAGTCTCGCTCCCAGAAGCCATTTGGGGCTGTGCAGGGAAGGGAACGGGGGCACCTCTCGTCTCACCACCATCTCATCCTCAAGCCCCGAGAGGAAAACTGACGCTCCACTACCCTCCCCGCTGCTCTCTGTGCTCTCCCGCTCTCTTCCCCTTTCACACACACATACGCTCTCCACACGGACGGCAGAACCACAGCCAGCTCTTTCACAACCAGCTTTTCCCATAAACTAGCCCCACAGCCCGGCTACCATCTCCCCGGACCCACTGTGGGGCTCCAAGACCCTGGCTGCAGCTGCTGCTTCAGCTCCACGGCAGACTATCCAGGACTGGGGGGACAGGAGAGGGCACGAGGCTTAAGGAACAGGCTGGAGGGTCTTGGTGTTGCCTACTTCTGGTCCTCAGTTACCCCACCCCCGCTACCTGCAGGACAGCCCTCACCCAGCCGTCACACCCTGGCCCCAGAATGTGGAATCTCATCTAACTGGAAGGTGCTTCCTCCAAGAAAAACAGCCCTTGACTTTCATTCTGTCAGGCCGACTGCTGTAAACCTCCATGCAGTGGTGACTCGACGTGACTCAGTCATTCATCCAAGCTCAAGTGCAGGTCAGGAAAGAAATGCCTTGAGAGCCAGGCCCATCCTTTCTAGACCCAGGAAGCTTCTGAGAGCCTCCCTCTGCTCTGACCAGTCCACGGCTGAGCTAGTACTTGGCATGTGGTTTTCATTTGGTTAGAGATGTGCTTTCTCCCATCCTTCCCCACCTCCTGCCCAAAGCTAGCTCAAGGCTCCCAAAAGGCAGTCTTCACGACTTCCTCTGCCTCCCCTCAGACCTCTGTCCTCAGTCCTTGAATCCCAGGCTCCCTACTCTGGCCCCAAAGTTGGCTGCCACCCCAAGGATCTGGGCAAGAAGGCCAAGAGTGGGGGATGGGATCCCCAATTTTAGAAAATGGACCTTTACAGAATCTGGGGATCTGCCTATGCCTGGGTATTTCTACCCACCATCCCTACTCCAATCAGAGATCAGAGAGGAGGAACGGGCAGACAGACCCCAAAAGATCTGTCAGTCAAGAGACAAGGTCAAAGCAGAACTCTGGCCATCAACAGCTGGGCAACGGCCGAGCTGCGGGTCGGGGGTCAGCTGTCCTAGGGCCAGAGAAAAAGACTGGTTGACCCCTCCCCCAGAGTGAATCATGACAACAGAGAGGAAGGGAACAGCCAGGCCTGGGAGACAAAATGAAAAGTCAATGAGGGACTGACCTCTCAGGCCCAGGCCAGACAGCAGAAGAAGGGAGGAAGCAAAAGAATGGCTACTGTCTAAAAGGCAGCAAAGATCCATGGGGGCTCTGAAGAATCGTCCCCCAGGGCTGCAGGAAGGGCAGCTAACTCTCCCCTAAAGGGGCACAAGGCACAGACGCAAGCCGTGAGGCCCGGTCTGGATCTGGAAGGGCAGGACTAAACAAAACCAGCGAAAGGAAACCTGTGCCCTGGAATCAAACATGGGTGGCTTGGAATCCTACATTCAAACCAGCGAAGGCAAAGCAAGGGGTCCTGCTGGAATCAGATGAGGGCAGCTGGAAAGGCCATCATATCCATCTGAGCTGGAACAAATTAAAATCGGAGACAGTGGCATTTTCACAGTTAGTACCGAGGCATGTCGTCCTGCACAGTCCTTGGTCTACAAAGTACTTCATCGCATATCATCTCTTTCTCATTTTCATTTTCCTAACCACCCTGAAAATGCTGTAGGATCACGTATCAACAGGCAGGTTTTGCAGAAAAAGCTGAGGTTCAGAGAAGTTAGGCAGCCTGCCCTAGGTCATCCAGTGATAAGCAGCAAAGCCTGACCTTTTGACCGTGAACACAAAGCATATACACTATTGCATATTGTATGATCATCTGCACATACTCATGAATAACATGTAACAAGATATGGAAAAAGTTAACCCCTGAGTCCCACCTATGCCATTCAAGCACTCCTGGCAAACTTGAGCTGAACTCCTCCCCCCGCCCCCTGGGGGCGAAAGATCTGCCCAAACGGTCAGTTCTTTGCTTAACATTTCTGAGTGTGAAAATATGAACTCCTGACGTCTCTCCCGGAAGATTAAGGTTCCAGGGTCTCTACCATGGCCACTACCAAGAAAGAAACAGTAGAAAACTGTCCCAAGTTCAGTTTAATGAGACAGCATCAAACCACTGCCTTTAGTTTATTAGGAAAATGCAAAGCAACAGGGGCCGATAAGAACTATGTATCAACTGTGGGATCAACATGGTGAGTGGAAAGCTTTTAACATGAGAAAGCCAGTTGGGATTGCTACGTGAAAGGCTGTGACCCAAATCACAACCCAGGTGCATGAAGGGAAGGCATCAGGACCCAAGGCTTAGAAAGTGCGTCCTTGCTGCAAGCCAGCCGGGTTCACTCCCCGGACCAGCAGAGGGAACAGCTAGAAGGCTATAAATGCCCCACAGTAAAAAGAATTCCTTTGGCCTCCCTTACCACTTATCAGGGCAGCAGCACATTTATCTTGACGGTGTTCCTTTAACCTGTATTTGCTCCCATCCCCCCAAATTTCCTCTTGGGCTTATCTCCAATCCATCCTTTTCCTCAAAAGATTAAAGATTCAAACACAACCAGAGAGCAGTATATATAATCTTCAAAGAGCACTTTAGACATCATAAAGAATATTTTAACAGGCACAATTTTTTTCCCTTACCACACCTGTCCTCATAAACCATTTATGAGTTCAGCAGAGAAAGAGAATATACCAGCTCAGATAAAGTAAAGGAAAAACAGCCCAGGAATGAAACCTTGGACTCTAGATTAGACGGGACCACCCCTTCCCTAAACCCGCAAACCCAAGGTAGTACCCAAGTCGGCCTCCCCTTGAACACCCCCCCAAGGGCTCTCGGGCCTCCCCTGGCTCCAGGCTGCTCCTACCAGTGGCACACAGAGCAATGAAGGTCTGTGCGTGCTTGCGGATCAGAGACAACTTCTCGTTGGGCTGGGGCAGCTTGCGGAGGATGTGCTCGATGAAGTCATGAGGAGTGACGGCTGCCAGGTTCCACTTCAACTTCCCCAGCACCACCAGCTCCCACTCCTGGTGAGGAAGGGAGGAAGAGAAGAGTATAAAACCCGAGGGCCGACCTGGTGTTGGAGCTGGGGGTTGGGATCCAGACCAGTTTTAATGATGCTCATTAGGACGCTGCTAGATCGTAAGGCGGGCCCATTCGTCAAAGTGCCCCTAAAGCTTTGAAGTTGTTGATGGCTCTTCTTATGCTTCAAACGTCAGGCTCCACGGGAAATAATAAGAGCCCAGGTAGCAGTTGCCAAGATTCTACTCTCTTCTATATATCTTTTTCTCTCCAGCTCCCCTACTCCCACCCACCCTGATTTCCACGCAGTGCTGTTGCCCGCCCACCCAGAAGGTTGCACCTACAGTAAGACACTGCCAAGGTCATTGTGGCCCTTTGGTAGTAATTTAGTGTCTATGTCTCTATCACTGGATTAATAGTCTTTTTAATCCTCATGGAGAAATGATGCACACAGATAAAGCTCAAAATAAGGTTCCTTGACCCAAATCCTTGGCAGCCAATTAGCTTGCTTGTAGTTGGTGCCAAAAAGTGCCATTTTTCTCTCTGCTGTTAAAACTTTCCCCTCGACATATAATGCAGAAATCTTGGGGAAATGATACTCAGCCAGAGAGCAGCCTCTCACCTAGATGTTGCACAGGCCTTTGTCATTGTGACTGAAGGACCGGAATCCCATGAGTAACCTCATTTTGCAGTTAGACGTGATTCTGGGCAAGGTGATAGTGCTTGTCCAAGGTCACGGAATCTCTCAGTCCAAATGCTGGGACAATCAACCCCCTCCCCCAGGGGCCTCTCCCCACAGCCCACCTAGTGCAAAACCTTGTTTCTCTGCCTTATGGAGATATTTTGGGGGAATTGTGGTCACAGGGAAAGAAGTCAAAAAGAAAACCTTAAAAATATGTGCAATCAGAGGGAAAACAGGCCTATCAATCAATCATCATCAGAAGAATGAGAGGCAGAGACCAGCGCGGCAGTGTACCCCACTGTCCCATTCACCCCAAGATGCCCGACTCTTCTCCATTTGCAGAGCCAGCAACCAAAGCCCCATCCCCCTCCTGCAGCACTAACTGGCTGTGTGGTCTGGGGGGATCCCTCCCTTCCCTGGGCTTCAGCTTTCTCATTTATAAAATACGAGGACTCCTCCAGACCCCAACTTCTGGGATAAAGAGACAGGGAATGGAAAAAGGCAGGTTTGTCTGGAGCAACATAAATGAGCTTGGCTGGTCCTGGAAAAATTGGGGTTGTTCTGAAGTATACCTCAGTCCACTATCACGTTGAAATAAATGAGCCAAATGAAAAGCAAACTGGTTCCCAATTCTAGCAATTTTTTCTTTACAAGCTTTGAAGTCTGCCTTGGCGTTTTACAGAAGGTGGGGTAAAAAAACCCCTGATAGACTACTAACAACCAGGGTCTTCAAATATAGCTTAAAATTCTAGCCCTCCCTCCTCACAGGCTAATGTGAGTACAAACCACTCCACTTGTCCCATTATTAAAGGAAGCAGATCTCCCAGAAGAAAGCACCTTTCTGGGCCTCTCAGACCAAACCAGAAGCAGCTGAAATCTGGCAGTGGTTCAAAGGTGAAGTCATTCATGCCCCTCTCTACATTCTCGGCAATTCTATCCTTGCACATGTCTGCCACTAGATGGCAGCACAGCCCCAGAAAGGAAGGCCCCCTCACAAAGAGCTCAGTTCTAGCAGCCACTCTCAGCCCTGTGGACTTCGTGCAGGCCTTGCCTGTAAGGAGGGGGAGGGGGTGGGAAGAGGGGGCCCCTTTTTTAAACAGTGCAGAGAAAGGTGTGCAGACCACTGAAGGTGGGCCTCGGAGCTGCTCTACCATTCCAGTTCTGCTGCAACACCGACGTCTTAAGTGTGAAGCTGCAGGGAAAAAAAAGTTAGACGGGGTGGGAAAAAGGTTTGCTGGCAGAAAACCAGAGTCAAGACAGGACCCCTGTGGTTGTACAGAGGTCACAGATCCACTGGAGCTAGGAACCAGGGCCTCAGATTCCTCCAGTAAAGGGCCAAATTTTGACTCTGCTCAAAAGTCCTTGAGCTGATATTTAGTGAACAGCTACTATGTGCAGGTCACCTCGAGACTTTATAGATAGGTAAGACACTACCTTTCAACTCTAGGTTCTTAGGAGACAGACCACGACACATTCCTATCATGTAAGAAGTTGGACTATTTTCTCAGAATTCAGTGACTGAAAAATCGGAATTTAATTAAAATATCATCACTGTGTTCCAAGCTTCCCCTACACACACGCACACGACAGCAAATGAATCTCCACAAAACAAATCTCGGTGAGGATCGTCTTCATGTATGTAGGCTCGGTGCTTAGCACAGTGCCCGGCACACAGTAGGGATACACACAACCTAATGTTAAAAGACATCTCCCATCAGTGTGAAAATTCCAGTGGTGGGGTAATTTTGCATCCTAAGAATCTGGTTTGGGGAGCGGTGAGTAGAAGCATATTAGGCCTGGAGAGAGCCACGAAAGAAGAGCAGAAATGGAGGGAGAAAGGGGACAGTCATTACCAGCAGCTCCTGAGGCTTGATGGAGTTGTCAGTGTAAATGCACAACTTTTCTGCCGTCAGGGGGATGGTCTCCTTGAGCTTGGAGGCCAGGAACATGCAGACAGCACCCAGAAGCTGCAGATGGGTCTTAGGAGTCGGGACTCCAGCCAAGAAGCGGTCCAGGTAATTCATGGCCAAAGGGAAGACCTCCTCTTCACACTTCTGTTCCTCACAGACCTACAATGGGAGTGGGCAAGCGTGGGGGGGGGGGCAGGAGAAAACAGTATGAGGAAAAGAGACAAAAAAAGAAAAAGCATAATCTATGGAAACAACAAAAAATATTTAATTTTTTTTGTGGGGAGGGGGAGGGGAGTAGACTATGTGATAGGAATAAAGACGAGGAAATTGGGGTAAATCTAAATAGCCCATCTGTGCTTGGGTCTTCCCCAGGAGCCTAAGAAAAGAGGGGAATTCAAGATCCGAAACCAGGAGGCAAAGAAATGCGCAGTAGCCGCCGCGGCTCCGCGACGCTCCCTTTGGCTCCTCACTTCTTCGCTCACTCTAACTCACTCACTCTCTTTTTTGGATTTCGTCATCTTTTCAAAAAATCAATAAAAATATTCTGGAAGCTCCGGGGGTCCCCTTCTTGGTCCCATCCGGACCCTCAGACCCTGCTCTATCATTCCCGACAATTGGAAAAAATCTCCCGAGGGGTCCCTGCAGCCCAGGCGCCGCTATTGGGGGGGTGGGTGGGGAGAGGTGGGGAAGAGAGGGGGAGGGCGCAGAGGAGGAAGAGCCGCAGCCTCGGCGGCTGGAGTCTGAGCACGGGGAGACGGTTTCAAAAAATAATTAAAAATCGAGGAAATATCCTAGAAAAGCCCTTTTGGCGTGAAAACCCCAAAGAGGATGCAGGCTTCCCGAAAAGGAGGTTTCGGGTGCCGGGAAGGTCTGTATCTCGACCCCTGGGGCTTTGGATCCCGAGGGGACACTTGGAGGGGTGAGCGCCGCGGCGGGAGTGTCCGGCTGCGGCCCACAAGGGCAGAAACTGGGGAACGTGGTGACGAGCTGGGGGAAGACGAGGATCGGGGGGCCGCCGGAGAGAGGCCGGGGGACGCTGACCTCTCCTTTAGGGGTGCCCCGATATCTCCCCTACACACACCTCCTCCCCCCTTCCTACCCCACCCAAATCTCCGCACCGAGGAAACTGGAAAGCCAAACCGTAAGTAACCTTTGTGAGGTGGGGGTGGGGGGAGAGGGCACTATGAGAAGTGGGGTGGCCGGAATAACGGGGTGCGAGGGCGAGAGGGCGACGTTTTCCAGTCTTTCCAACCGGAGTTTGCAAAGCAACATGGCGAAACCACGGCAGGTCCAGAGCTGTGCATACGTGGGCACACGGCTTGCTCGGCAAAGATTTGGAGCAAGGGTAAAGAAGTGGTTCTTTTGGGTTCCCCTAAAACACAGGTTTCTTCAATATGACTTCCGGGGCTCCTGAATTCCCCATTTCTCTCCTCCTCCCTCCTCCCTCCCCCTCCCCCCTTAAGTGCCAACGCGGAGTCGCGACCACATGCGGGGACCTGAGGCTAGGACGAATCTGCTCTGGCCTTTTGGGGGGCTGTTTTTTTATTTTTGGTTCCCGATTCCACGCTCCTAGTCCCTTCTTCACTGCACCGAAAGCAGCCGCGGCTTCGCAAAAGACAGGTCGGGATGGGGGTGGGAAGAAGAGGCAGCCACATGCAAGCACACGCGCACGGGATGCTCCCCCACCCCCGCCCCAGGACAGCCTCGTTTCTCCCAGATTTTCCTCCTCCCTCCTCTCCCCCTCCCCCAGTTAATCTTGCATCCTGCAAGGAACAGAAATGAAGCCACGCGTCTCGCCAAAGGGCGCGGGGTAACCTCGCGCACAGGAGCTGGGAGGCGAGCGCGGCGACTGCCCTCTTCCAGTTTTAGGGTCCCTGCGGGGGAGGGGGCGAGAATCCGGGTGGGGACAGACAGAGCGTCTGTCTGCGGACCTACCTCCAGCATCCAGGTGGCCACCATCCTGCGCATGTAGGGCTGGATGTCCTTCTGGACGCATTTGAAGTAGGAGCACTGGGGAAGGTAGCGCTCCTCGATGGTGAGCAAATTCTGCAAAACGCGGTCGTCGTAGAGCAGGTTGGCGTCCGGCACAGCCCTGCGGACCGGGTCCACCTCGCAGCACAGCAGCTCCATGGCCAATCCGGTGCCCACTCGTTCCCCTGCTCTCTCCGGACTGGAAAAGTTTTGTTTTATTTTTTTGGAGGGGGGAGGGGAGAGGGTTCCCCTTACCTCCTTCCTTTGGCTAAATAGGGGGTTCTCGGGGGAAAGTTAAGAGCTGAGAGAGAAGCAGAAGAAGAAGAGAGGAAAGGGATGGGCGGTGGGAGAGGAGAGCCTCGGGGGCTGCTAACTCTGCCTGCCCTCCCCTTCAAACTGGTCTAGCTCTCCCCAGCTCGCTCTTCTCTCTGCTCGGCGAGGCAGTGACGCAAACTGGCTGGGCAGTTAGTTCTCCTCCCTCTCGCCTCGCTCCCCTCTCTGGTTCCTCCTCCCCTTCCCTCCCCTCTCGTCCCTCCCCTCCTCCTTTCAATCTCTCCCTCCCTCCCTCCTTCCCCTCTTGTTATTAAGGAGAACAGCAGCTGGCCCGACCTAACTTCAAACGCGGTCCCCCGCCTCCCCCACCCCTCTCCTTAGCTCTCCGAGGCCCTCTCCCTCCATCCAGCCCCGCATGCCTGGGGCCCCGGATAGGGGAACCCACAAAAAAACACCGCTTCTTATTTATTCCCTCTAATTTCTCACATTCTCTAGGTGTATCAGACCAAAATACAACTCTCCAACTTTGGCTTCTTCAAAACTGATCCTAACACTCCTGCTCAAATATTTAAGATCCAGGGTGACGGGTAGATTACTTGAAGATGGGGTGGGCCCAGACAATTTAGAAATAGATTCCTTAAGTGAAAAATAAGGAGGACGATTTTAGAAAATAGCAACCTCGCATACCCAGAGATAAAGGTTATGTCCCTGAAATTTATATGTTCCTAATCATTTCTAAGTAGCTTCAAAAGCCCAATTAAAGCGACTAGAACAACGTCCCCCTGCTCGCCCCCCGCCCCCCGCCGATGTGTGTGCAGAGGAAGAAGAGGAAGGGGTGGGTGTTAGGAGGGAGGGGGCGGCTTCTCCGACGTGATAGAATGTGACCCTGGAGCAGAAACCGTCCTGTTCTTGGGGGCGCTACGGACGCCATTGGGAGACGCGGCGAAGCGGCAAGGGCTGCTGCAGGCAGGGGGCAGGGCTACCAGCGGTTCCTCCGCGGCCAGAGGCCACGCAGGAAAAACCCGCTTCCTCGCCCCTGCATCTGCTGACAAGCCGCCCGAGGTGTCTGCGCCGAGCGTGGCCACACTGATACAGCTTTCTAGGAAATAGTCCGGGAGGGGGAGGGGAGGGGGCGAGGGAGGGATTAGGTTTGGCTCCCCCTCTCTCCCCCTGCGCAGGGAACACCACCCCTTCCTTTCCTCGGAGGCCCGAGACTTCCACCCTTGGTTCTTCGCCTGCATCCTCGCCGACCCCTTGGGTTCACGCGTCACTCGCCAGCCCAGACTTTCTCCCCGGGAGCGGGATTGCGGTGGAGACGCTGGCAGTGCAGGCGGCTGTGACAGGCTCAAATTCATCCTCGGGTCAAGGCTGCTTTTACAGGGGATATGGTGGCGTTTCCTCACCTCCTTCCTCCCGCCACCCCTACCCTGCCTCTCAGTGTTATTTCACTTTGGGAGTTAGGGGAGTGAGCCCAGCGTCCCAGCCTGTGGGCCGAGCTGGCACGTGCAGCGAGCATGGCGTGGGTCGGGGCTCCCTGGACACGCGGATGTCGACCGAATACCTCCTTCGCCGAGCAAGGGGGCCCGAACCGGGGCGTGGAGAGCAAGCGGGGGTGGGGGTGCTGGGTGAGCTGTTCGCTGGGTTCCCTGAAAGGAGGAGGGAGGTGGAATAGAGAAGGCGGAGAGTGAATAAACCAGAGGTGCTGGTGCTAGCGATTAACTCAGGCCCCGGGGCCAGCCCCTTTAAACGAGGGTGGGGCGGAAGGGGTGGGTGGTGGAGGGGAAAGGGGGGGGATATCGCTTTAAAAGGGTGAGGAAGAGTTTGGGGCGCCGTCTCCCCTCCCTCTATTTGCATAGCCAATAGCTCTGGGGCTCCTGCTACTGCGCGCTGATTGTTACCGGGCAGATTACTTTTTTTTTTTTTTTTTTTTTTTTTTTTTTTTTTTAGTAGGACGCCTTCCCCGCTACATCAAAAGGAAGCCAAGGGAGGGCGGAGGGAGCGCGGGGGCTGGGGCGGGCGAGGGCTGGGGAGAGGCCTGCGACCTTATCAATAGCCGCAGGAATTAGTATCCAATCTACAGTATGTAAAGAAAGGGAGGGAAGGGGTCGGGCGAGGAAAAAGTCTAATTGCTGGGGAAGCCATTAGCTTTCGGGAAGGAAAAGAGCGCACTGAAAAACCCAAGTTGCAAACTCAAAATGAAACAGTCCTGCGCAGCGGATGACACTCGGCCGAGTACAGTGTTCCTCGGAACAGAGTCGGTCCGTAACAGTTGCCTATTGATTTCAGTCAACTTGGACTTCCCGACTCAAGCTTTTGAGTCACTCTGGATAAATACGTTAACTTACATTTTAAGACCCCATAAAGGAATTACTCAAACTTCACCTTAGGTACCTTTGAGCGGATCAAAGAAAGCTGCGGGGGGGGGGGGCAGTAGGGGTGAAAGGTATTTTAAAGTATAAATCTAACCCGACAGGCAAGGACAGAAGCCGGCGAGGGCTTCCAGCCTCTTGACATCACTTGATAACCAGCCGAGCGCAGTCTTTCTCCGCCTCCTTGCAGTTTCCCTGCATCCCAGGCCCTGGGTCTCCTGAAGTGGGGGGGTCGGAGGGGAGGCGGGTGGTCGTTCTTGGGGCCTCGCCCACCCTGGGGAGAGAACCTGGGTGGCGAGTCCTCAAGTCTGTGGAGCGAGCCCAGGGCGCTCTCGTCCCTTCCTTCCCCCCCCCGCCCCCCGCCTGGCTTTCCGGAGCAATTCCGGCGAGGAGCGGGGCGGGGGAGAGGTGGCTGCGAAGGGGAGGCGCGCAGAGGGTCGCGGGCGTATGCCCCCTCTCCCCGCGGCCCTCTTCATTCACCGAGACCCGCGAGTTCGGACGCTTCCCGCGTGGCAGGCTCGGCTCTTCCAGTTCCCCATTCACTTCCCCTTCCTATTACGGGCTGTTCCCGAACATTAACCTCGCATCGAATCCGTCCCCGGGTCGAGCTTCAGTCTCCAGCCCATGCGGTGGGGCGTGAGAGGGTGCGGAGGTTGGCAGGAATGTCTCCGGGAGGCTTGGACTGGAAACTGAGTTTTCCCTTTTGGTCGCCACTCCGACCATGTGTTAAAACCTTAATTTTGCTTGTTAAAAAGCACTACGCCCAGCACGCGGGAAAAGGCACGTTGCCTTCTGGGCAAACGTGCGCGTTTTCTTTGAGTGTAGACTTAGGTTTGGAGAAGAAGCCCAAGCCCGAGGCTCTGGCTTTGAAGTCAAAACTGATCCCTGAGGGGGAGGGGGGTGGTGGGGGGGAATGTTGGTTCTTCCTTTTCCCTTTTTCATCCTAAAGGAAAAAAAATAAATATTGTGTCCTTTGTAGGATCAGTGATAAAAACTTGAGAGAACGCAAGTTTTATTGGACTTTTATTCCCTCCTTTGCCGGCTTCCCACCCCCTACTCCTGCGTTTTGGAGTTTCGGTTGGAAAGTGTACAAAACCCTGTAGGTGTAGGGTGCAGCTGGGTGTTGGGTGTTTATAGGCACATTTCTGCAGGAACCTGCAACGCTAAGCACACATACTGCCAAGCTCACCTGGAGGATGCCGGCCAGCTAGGTGATCCCGCCGACGTCTCAAAGCTTCCCAGCTGCTCGAGTTCGAGCCCCGCGGCCTCCGCACCGGGTGGGGGCAGGGGTGTGAGTTCAGGCTCAGGAATGGGAGCCATCGCCCTCGCCCCAACTCTCCCAAAGACTAGTGTTCCTGTTTTTCCACTGAGGGATGGATGGTCAGATAATCAAAACCGAAAACCCGACGGTTACTTAAAAGGAGATGGGAAGTGTCCCCATCCCGGCTCCGGGCTCCCGGAGTACCAGGAGAGAACTAGAAGAGGTATAGCAAGAGGAATTGGGAGGTAATAGGGAGTGAATGAAAATTAGAAAAACGTGCGAAAGGAAAAGAGGGACAGGTCGGCAACTGGCGAGCACAGGGGAAGAGGGTGGGTGGGGACGAGCCGACAGGAGGCTCCCGGATGCCGGCGCAGTGCGATTCCAGGTGTGGCTACGCTTCCGGGACCCTGTCACCGCCGCGGGTGCGTCCCCGGGCGCTCGGGACCCAGCGGGGCAGAGTCGCCTGGCCTGTGCATTCACGTGCCCTCTCGGTGTTTCGGCTTGGACCCCGGGTGTGTGCCGGAGGCAGCAGATGCCATAGGCGTGGGTTCGGAAGGCGCGCGTCTGCCGTCTGTTCACCCACCTAGCATCTTACTCCCCTCCCTTGGAAATAAAATAAAAAATAAAAAGACCCGAACTTCCCCTCTTCCTGTCTGATTCAGCTGCAGGGCACGCCTCACACGGCCGAAAATAGCTCTGGAAATGCATTTGCTTTATGAAAGTGAATTTTCCAATAAGATTTGGGGCGGGGGGCGTCAGGCTCCCGGCGTCGGCGGGGCCGTGCCTCCCAGAGGAAAAGGAACCGGCAGACTCGGTTCTTCGCCCTCCCCAAGGCGCCCCGGGAGGGGGCCGCTGGGCGGCGGAATCGCGCCTCCGCTGGGGGAGCCACCACGCGGCTTTTTCGCGGAATTTTGACGTCACCCACACGTGGGGGAAGGGGCTGGGAGAGCGAGAGGAAGCGGCGGG